ATATGCCATTTACTGTTTGTTTTGGTGGGTTTTTTTGAATTATATTTATTTTTTCTAATGTCAGGTCACCCTCTTGCACAGTTTATCGTGACTTTTTGCTGTAAGATCTGATTAAAAATGCTTTTGGTGAATTAGGCATGGCTGTGGAGGTATGTCAGTAGGAAAGCTATTTTTTTTCCTATCCCACAGAAAGCTCATCACCTGGGTCTGCTTCTGCCAGTGTTGTAATTCTGCTTTCTTTGACAATGTGATTTTTGAAAAGCTAACTAAAGATAGATGCTGTAAAAAAAAAAGGAAAAGAGGAGGAGGAGGAAAATTAGCAAAGCCCTAAGGTTAATTCTGGTCCATCTTAATAGGAACCACAAATATTTTACCAGCTTTACCTGTTTAAGTTTTCTTTCCTGAAATAATTAGCTTCATAATTGCGCACAAAATACACATTTTTGACGTAGCTATCTTTTTCAATGATGTATTTTGAAGAAATACTCTTATTTTAATTACGAAAAAAATGAACCATGTATGTTTGAAAGGGGAGCACTTTCTTCTTCATAAAAATGTATTTTTGCCGTTGATGATACTAAGTATTACATGACAATTATCCCACTTCCCTTAGTGCTCCCAGAAGAACATTGTACCTATGTACCACTAATAACCTTTCAGTGCATGTGCACTTAGACCCTTTTCATAACTGTTGCGGTAAAACCAAAAAAAATTACATAAACCTGCGAAAGAATTGCTTAATGGCATGAAGTGTTCTGGTTTTGAAGTATTCTGGTTTCTACCAAAACCCCAATTACTTAATTTTGTGCCCTTCCTGGCCGACGTAAATTATGCAACCCTCACATCTCGACATCAGTGAATTATGTAGCTCTGCGCACACATCAATTAATTTTGGCCCCATCAACTTCCCACCTTCTGTGTGCTCCTCGCCTCAAATCGCTTCTGCATCTCCCAGCCGCGAGCAGTTCACTTTGTGCAGCTGTATCTGCCTGAACCTGCAGCCCCACTTCAACTCTTCACCCTCCCCCACCTGCCTCTCCTCCTGCTCAGCCAAGACACAGCCTGCTCCTGCTAAATCCCTTCTCCTCCAGCTCCACAGCAAGGATCAATCCTGGTGCCTTCACCTTGTGCCTCGCCAGTGGGTCGTCACCGAATCCCAGTGCACCCACGGGCAGTGGGGCTGGTCCAGAGGTGACCTCGTTGTCCTTATCACTCTCAGAATTTTCCAAATGCACATTGCAAGACTGAAACTCCATCTTCTGGAACGGCCTGTGAAAGTCATGGCATGCTTGGAGCACCCATCTCCAAAACCCTTCCCATAGCGGAGCCTGGATCATACAACATCCCACCGAGAAAAGATGTAGCTTCTAGGTCTGTGTGAAAAGTGGTGGTGAGGAAAAAGGTGGTGCCAGCATCCCTCAAACTCAGCACTGCTGCCAGCATGCTGGTGAGCATGACCCAGGCCTTGGTGTTGAAGCCACAGGTGTGCACACCACATGCCACAGCAGGCTCCCCTAAGCAACCCAGAAAGAACTCACTGTCCTCCAGTGAGCAAAAACATCATGAGGGGTACCTTTTACACTTATTGCTGACCTCTACATGGAACTCAGTCCTAAGTCCTGAATTATTTTGCCCGGAAAGGAAAAGCACCTCCATGGGAAGTACACAGAGACCAAAGACCTGAGAGAGCAACACGATGCCCTGCAAACCAGAGTGGCCTTGACTTGCCGTTGCTCTCCAGTTGCGTTCTGAGCACTGGCAGCAGAGCAACTGCTTCACCTGGGCTTTGTCCTCCAGTAACACGGGATGGATCAAGACAGGCTCCTGCCTCATCCTCTCCCTCTGCTTTTAGTTCCTCAGGAGCGTGAAGGGTTGGTGGCTTGCCAAAGGACGAGGTGGTGACAACAGAGCAAGGAGCAATAGAGCTGTGCCCAGGTTCTCCCACGGTCACCACGTCAGGAGGGCTGGTGGAGACCAGCACTCGGTTCAATCTGCTTTTGTCTCTGGGGGCTAGAGGGAATTTGACTTTTGTCTCAAGCTGAGGTTACAGAATATTTTCTCTCCTTTTTGTCTGTGTCAATATAAGCAGCAAGCGCTGCTGAGACTGACTTGTGCTTTTTTTGTACAGTTCCCAGCACATCTGGCCATCTTGGACAAGGTCCCTAGGCCTGATCGTAGCAAGAAAGTAGCGATAGCGTGTTTAAAACTTGGGCCTCCAGCTATGACTATATATAAAACACAAAGCTTTGGGGACAAACTGGAGGAAATACAGTTTCTAGTAACTGACCAAAAAAAGTGTATTCTCTGTGTTACATCTGCAGTTGTGCTTTGCCAGCGTGGGTGCTCTGTCGTGTTAGGAGACTGTCTCAGAACCAAAAGCCAGTGCGAGGCAATGGCGTGCTTGCCCCCAGCTCATTGGCACCAAGCATTTTTCCTGTCCCACTTGCACAACAAGCCCTGGTCATTCATCACTGGGAAGCTAAGCTGGCTCTAGAAAATGTTCCAATTATCTGGGTGTCCTGATGAAACCTGCCTTGACTTAAAAGAGGCACACCACCATACTCACATGAATATCTCTTGCTTCTTCTAAATAATAGAATTAGCTATGGGCATTTCCTTAAGAGCATGCAGAATACAATTGCAGTAATAATTCCTCTCCCTCCAAGCCTAGTCTTGAAACATGCAAATTTCTCTTTCAAGTGCCTTGACAAAAATTGGCAACATCCTGACACGCACACACGATTTAGACACTGAATTACACACTCATCGAGTTATCAGCAGTGAGCTGAGTTCTTTGGTGGATGTATCAGGAGTGCTCTTGACAACTTGTTTCTTGCTCTCTTTTGTAGGGATCTAGCACTGACCACTGCAAGGACAGGGTACAGGGATGGATACAGACCTTTTGGTCTTCCCAGCACATATATTCCTTCTTCTATCCTTACACAGCTCCTTGCAGCACACCATGGTGCCGTGTGCTTTCTGCTGAGCGTTTTCATGTTCTGTTTTAAAAATAACAAGACATCTCTTAACATTCAGGATACATTTTTCCACTCTGAAGCACCACAACAGTCTTTTTAAAGAAACTCTAGGAAGGGTGTTAACTTGATCAATGCTGTGCAGGAAGGAAAGCTCTTTCCTACTATTTTTTCAGCATGACTTTCACTGACATGATCAGGCTGGGAAAAGACTTATTGGCTGACAGCCCAGGACAGCCATGCAATATCTCTAGTCATCTGGAACTCAAACTGCTCTGCCCAAGGGAGAACCATAACATAAAAACAATTTAGGTTACATGCTGAATCTTATAAACATTATTCAGTTCTTAAAAAATAGTTTAAATACTATTTATGTGCATTCGCTGTGCACAGAATTATTGTGTTATGGGTTTTTTTTCATATGTCAAGTAAGAAAGGCTGGGAGGGTTTTTACTTTTTTTTACTGTAGATGGTTTTCAAGAATCTTGAAGATTTTTTTATAAATATAGGGAAATGAGTTTCCTCTCTTCTCATGTATTTAAGAGCTTGGCTTCTCCTGTATATCGGATATAACTGTTTTATATATAGACAATGTTTACTTTTTGACCCTGTTCAGAAAGTACAGAGTCACAGAAATGCTGGTTAGAGAGAGCTTCCAGAGGCCCTGTGATCCCCCTTCTGCACATGTGGGACTATTGCCAGCACCTGATCAGGGAGAGCTTGGCTTCCTCTGGCTGAGCCATAAAACCCCTGAGGACAAGAGTTTCCGCAGCCTCCCCGATGACCTGCCCCAAGGCTGTGCTTCTCTTCTAGAAATTTTTTCCTTCCATCTCCTGTTTTGAAGCTGAGCATCATTGGCCTCTGTCTGTTGTTACCTTATTTTGCATAAAAAGCTTGTCAGAATAATCTGTTCCTCTGTAAGCACATGCAGCTCTAATAATTTGGGATAAAGCAACATGAATTCAGAATGTAAGCTTCACTTCAAAAATCCTTTTTTTCTCCGCTTGATGTCTTGATGGAAGATCTGAACTTGGGATGTGTCCATTGCCACCTGTCCGTCTGCCAAGCCCTAACATTCCAGCACACCTTGCAACAAGTCTAAAAGTATTATTTTAAGAACATATAGTTCCTTTATGATTCCTTTTTTCCATTAACTGGTATTTCACAAGCTGAGTAGCCTTACTGTCTTTTCTTGTGCACCTTCTTGCTTTTGCTGAAATTGTTGGTTATTTGGTGGTGGTGTTGGTTTTGAGTTGTGGTTTTTACTCTCTTGATGTGCTGTAACTTCTCCTGTGATTTCATTGCAGGCCTTGCTGAGACCAGGACGAATAGACAGAATTATCTACGTGCCGTTGCCAGATGCAGCCACTCGCAGGGAGATCTTCAAACTTCATTTTCAGTCCATGCCAGTGAGCGATGAAGTCTGCTTAGCTGAGCTTGTTGAGCACACACAAAAGTACTCAGGAGCAGAGGTAAAACTTTCTGGAGTCACTGCACAAAATGATGTTTAAGTTGAACTCAAGTATCATCCAGATACCATCCCTTTAGCCTTCTCCAAGTGCTGGTCGGAATTGTGAAAGGGAACGGTTGAGAGGTTTCTGTGTTTCTGCTCAGAGAGCAGAATGCAATCTGGGGCTTTTTTATTTCCATCAGAGGATCTCCATCAGAGGATTGTTGCCAAGGGAAAGGTCTCTTCCAGGGTGAGCCACAGTATGATCCCAGATGGCCTCATGAAGTATGTGCTGCCAGGAGTGGAGGGAGGCAGAGGCAAGTGCTCCCAGACTCCCCAGGCAGTTCACCTGGGTCTCCCCACATCTCCAGGGATCTTTTGAGTTTAAGATTGTGACTGAGAGCCTCAGATGGAGTTATGGAACAGTGCAGGGGAATTGCAAGGCAGTCACTGGTCACTTTGAAGCTTGTGTTCCTATTCCATATAATCAGGACCTCACAGCCACACTTTACTGTTACAGCTCATTGCTATTAGTTACCTTCTGACAATGAACATCAGACAATTATTTCCTGTCCTGGGTAGAAGGAGAAACTTTCTCAGATGCTGCTGCCTGGCAGTTATAATAAGTAGCAGTACATTAGTGGTCACCACTCTGCTCCCTGAATATTATTCATGTCAGTGTCTCGTGAAAGGATATTTCATTCTTTCCTCATTTTAATTAATTGAGAGTAATTATATTACTTCAAAAATTCAAAGAATGTTATTAAGATTGCCAAGTCAAGCCCTTAAAAGGTACGAAAGACCAGAATTTCCACCTTCCTGTAAGCAGTCCTAGTGTATTATCGCAACATCTTTAATTACATAGTCACCTTCTGCTTTTTCCATAGCAGAGTGGAAAATGTGATGTGCTTGCCTTAGCTCTCCAGCTTTCAGTGTGCTGTTTACAAGGGCAGGGAAATAAGGTAAACTTTTGTCTTGGTCCAAAAGAGAGGGTGATGGTGGAGTGTTTGTGTGGTTCTTGTAATGCTGAAGGCCCTTCTCAATGGACTGGTCATTGAACAAGATTTTGGCTCATTTAGCTATCACTCAAATGCTGGTATGATGTAAAATGCTGTGTTGCCTGCTAAGTAACCTCTGGCTGCTGAGGGCACTGCTGGTGTGCTCCGGCCTCATTTTGGGAACCTGTGTCACAGGGGACACCAAAGTTGAACACACAAGATCTTTTCTCCTCCGCAGTGCAGGACAGGCTGTGCTCTGGGAAAGAATGAATGAAAGCTGTGTAGGGAGCAAGGCTGGTTTGTGTAGCACATCTCATTTCCACACAATGTGGGCTATCCTAATGGAAAAAAGGCAACAATAAAAAGGGTTTCAGGCTTAAGTGTTGGTCTGAAAAACTGTTGAAGCTCTACTGCCCCCACACTTTGGAGCAGTGACCTGAAACAGTGCTGTGTTCATATCCGGGTGATACAGCTTTTGCTGCCTTAGGGAAATTTATCTGCCTCTGGCTGAGCTACAAGCCTCCAAAAACATAAACATAAACATATCCTCCCTTGTGTATGGAAACTGTTGTCTTACCAGGCAACAACTGTAACGCTTGTATTTTAGAAATTCCAAGCAAAGCATATGGGGATTTCCTTTGGATCTGGATCAGCTGAAGCTTTAGTGGTGAATTCCTGTGCCTGGTTGATAATGAGTCGCAAATGTCTTGGTGCTGGCTTTGTACAGAACCAAAAATAAGTTAATGGGTCACTGAGTGCAGCTACACACTAGTTGCAGGGGGAAAAAAGGGCTGCCTGTTTCTAACATGGCATTGCTCATGAATTTTGTTCTTTTGCATCATTCAAAGTATTATAATAACTGGGATGCAAAGAGTAAATACAGAAAAAGCCTCAGTCAGTGTTCCTTGGAAGAATACATAAGAAGTCTTGGCAGTTGGCACGCACAGTGGCCAGTTTCATTAAAGCCTTTTCTTCCTAGTGTCTCCAGCTTCCCAGCTTTACAAATAGTTTCCGCTGCTGAATGGCAAGTTCCCATTCCACTGTTCTACCCTTTGTTTAGAAAAAGAAATGGAAAATGCTTGGTTTTGTGACTAGAAGATGCCGTATGAATAGGGAGTTGCGTGTAAAGATGCGTTGAATCATCCCGCCGTGAGCTGAATAAACAAGCCAGTAAAGCGGATAGTTCAGTGAGCATCTGGCTTCCAACTTGGCCCTTTTTCAGATCAGATACTTGCATATATTTTTGCCTGTCATCACTTATGACCAGTTATCTCTGTTCACCTGCTGGATGCACGTTTCTCTTAATGAGTACCTTTAAAGATATATCAAGATAGCAAAATAGGGTGATTACTTCCCACTGTTTCATGTGAGAGAAAATGGAAGATAATTTATGAGGGTGAATTACAATTTCCTTCTCTCGTGTGTAAGTGAAGTTTAATGTAATAAAAAAAGGGCACTAGACAAGCAATGTCTGTACAATTAGCTTTTAGGTCAAACAAATTCTCAGCTTTCTAGAAATACTTGGATTTGAGTTTGATCTGCATTTCCAGCCTCTTCTGGAGCAGTGCTGTGCAGCAGTACTTGAGGCTCTCCTTCAGGGATACTTCAGTGTCTGTAAATCAGGAGAGAAATTGGTAGGCACAGAGGAGAAGTCCTTAAAAGTGATAAAAATGGTGAAAACAACAAACATCATGCTGCACTGAAACTTTTATAAGGTTTAATCTAGTGTTTCTGTGTGTTATTTTGGGCAAAATTTCAGGAGGTCCAAATTTTATCAATATTTTTTAATGGTTTTTAATTGTTTTGTACAATTAGGATGTCTTCACTCTGAGGTTGTTCCCAATTTGGTCACAGATTTTTCCTAGAGCGTTTTCACTGCTGTACTTCATGCTGAGAAGTTTTATCTGTTTGATTTCTCACTAAAGTAGGACTAATTAAAGATCCGGCCACAGAAGTATTTAAAAGTGATGTTTTAAAGTACAAGCCGTGTGAGTTCCTTTTTGCTTGTTTTCATGGTGCTGCTACAGCCATATAACCCATCTTTAGGAAAGACTGGCTTTCCACAAACTCGGGTGCTCCACTGTTTTTAAATTGGGCTTAGATGAGCAAGGGATGAAACCAGTGTTTCCCCACTGTAGAAATATTTTTTTCCAGAAAGTAGGTGATAAAAAGGAAAATAAACCTAGTAGAGTGAGGGACCCTCTTTTATTGTCTGAGCTCCAGTCAGATGATGTTTTTGTTAAAAATTAAAAGACAGTAGTGGAGAGGGAGTTTTAGGCAGGAACTGAAATCAAGTGTTGAGTTGTTTTGAGTTTGAATTTGGTTAGAAGTAATAAAAAGTTAAATAATGTGGATATGATGACAATATTCTTCGGACGAGTGCGCTAATAGAACTAAGATAATGGGACTGACTGCTTTTAAATTGGTGGAAAGCAGGTCATGGTGAAAGCCAAGGCTGGCGTGGTTTCTATAGTATTATCAGTTTCCATGCTTACAGGACACAATAGTAAAGCGGGAATCTTGGAACCTGTAAATCTTTCATTGGTTCTTAGGCGAAGCAGAACAGTTAATGTAAAAAATATCTTTCTCACTTTGCAATAACTCTCAATGGGAGCACAGAGAATGAAGGGGAAGAAAAGCAAGCTGATGAAGGTTTGCTCTGGCTCAACTAAAAGCAGATTTGATGCCAAAAAGGTCTTTGCAGCAGCACACTAGCTGCAATCAGCTCAAGCCTTTGACTCTTAAAATATGTATTCCAAAACATGCATGTTCTTGTTTACCAGATATTGACATATTTAAACTGTTAACTTTAATATAAAAACACCCCAAACAACTAAAACCTCTCCAAATTCCTCTCTCTCTTACAGAGGAAGGTACTAAGTATGAAAGGAATGAGGATGAGTTCTGTCATAGGTGTACAGAAGGGTAAAGAGTCTTTTAAGAGATTAGAAAAAATTTGTCTCTTTAGTGAAGAACATCTGCAGTAAAGGGGAGAGAGGGCTTAGATATGGGGGGGGGGGAAGGACATTTGACAAATAAGGATGTTTTACTTTCTTTACATCTAGCTTTCTGTGAAGAAAAAGATCTTCCAGACTTAAGGAAAAGGCTTTCTGCCTAGCATTTTTAAAGGGCAATGAATTCAATCCTATATAGTAGCCTAAAAAGAGACTGGCTTTTTGAAGTGAAGGCATCAAAAAAATTTAAAAAAAAAGCCCGAAAGAGTAAAGTCTCTATATGGGGAAAAAACCCAGTATACCATTCAAATCTTGTCCTGGCTGAAGCTCAGGGTTTTAATTTTTAAATGTAAACATGTTTGTTGCTTTTCTGCTCAGTTATGCTGAATCCTGAGCATGTTCAATTCCCATTGGATACAGCGGGTGTCAAAGGTGCTGAACACATCATGCTTTGGAACTGGGCCATCAGATTTTGTACTTCTAAAATACCACCAAGAAATGCATATGTCGCATCAGAAATGTGTGATTTGAAAATATTCTTTTGTAGTTAAAGCGTCTGGGGCTGAAATGACTCTGGCCTGACACTGCTGGACGGCCTGTCCTTCTGAAGGCACAGCTTAGCTCCACACCAAGATGTGGTATCACAGTGAAATTACAGATTTTCAAAGTGAGGAACGCTGTCAAACTGCAATGCAGCAAGATTAAGGCCTCAGATGAACTCCTGATGTTTCTCTTGGAATGATGCAGAGGATCTGTTAATTTATATCACTCATTGCAAAGTGAACATTTTTGTGTGGGTGGGTGAGGAAAAGAGGCTCAGCCTTTATCCAATATGGGTAATACGGGATCACCGCCTTCCTATACACGTTTATCGGTGCTAAGGATGTGTTTGGCACAGGTGGCTGGAAGGTGAGGAAATACCTGGCATTCGGAATGTTTTCCAAATGTCAGTGTTTGGGATAAACGAGATGAATCACCGGAAAGGAAATAACTAACTACACAGGACTTCCCATGGGATTTTGCTCGCTGCTGGTCTCACAAGAACCTCGTACGTGCAGAATGTGCTTGGG